TGTTAACATGTCGCGCTAACTTCAAACCGTACCATCTTCACTAATACTCCCCGTAACATTCATATCTTTCCTTTTTAGTTGTAACATTCATATCTTCCCGTTTATAAATCTTCTCATAATATCCTCAATAATTTTAAAAATAATACACTATTACAACTACTTTTTTGGGATTTATCCTTCATTACAGCACAATATTTCATTATCTTCCAATCATACCTTCAATAATTTATATCTCCTTTCACTATCCTTAATCTCACCTACTTTCAAATCAGAAGATATACTTCCTCCGTTCTTTTTTAGTTGCAACAGTCCACTTTGCACATTTGCCAACGCATGCCTTTGATCATAAATATATCTTATTCTCGATTTGTAAAAAAAAAATTATAAAAAACACATTTTGAAAATTTGTAATGAGACGAATTGAACAATATTTTTTTTTAAAAAATAATTCTCAAAAATTAATAATTAAATATGTAGTCAAAGTAGAGCTTGTGAATAGTGTAAAATTCAACATGTTGCAACTAAAAAAGAAGGGAGTATAGTATTTGTTACGGAGGTAGTAATTAATGAATAGTAGTTCCATAACACCATCCTCACGAGTCACGGATAATAAAGTGAAATTCTTAATTTCACAAACATTAATTAGTTAACACGACATCAACAATGAACAAATTCATACTTCCCCGTTCCGAATAGAATTACAAATTGCAATTATATTGTTATAAATTGTCCATATATAAACACGAATCATTTATGTGAACAAATGAATCAATTTTAGTAATTAAAATTTACACACTTGTAAACTACATTAAAGTTATGTAAAGTGAAAATATTAAAGTAAGAATATTATTAAAAAAATTGCTAATAAGCAAATAAATGAAACTGTGTTAATATAAACAATGACTTTACAAATCATTTTGGAACGAAGAGAGTAATGTATTTAAAACATAGCAAATTTAAAAAAAAATTAACAAGAATAAAAGTGACAAAAAATCATTTCAAAAATAATACTCCCTCCGGTTTTTAATAAACTTCACACTTTCCTTTTTGGGACGGTCTAAAATAAACTTCACAATTCCTTATTTCCTTTTTTGGCAAAGAAATCTACATCAAAACAGTGTCAATCAGTGCCAAACAGTGTCCCAACAGTGCCAAACAGTGTCTTTACAGTGCCAAACAGTGTCAAACAGTGCCTCAACAGTGTACTCTACAGTAAAGTCAAATTTTTTTCCTTATTTTGTGTGAAGTCAAAGTGTGAAGATTAAATAAAACCGGAGGTAGTATTGAAAATTACAAGCATATGAGATAAAGTTACTTCTGGATGAATCTTATAACTTTCCAAATAATTCAGCATCCGCTACACGTTTTTTGTAATACGTTGCATGGGCTATTGGGCTGCTACTAATACGAGTTTGACGTTGCTCTAGCTAGCCTTATCGATCCATCTTTGACTTCTTTTTTCAAAAGACCTTTGCAATAACATACAAATTCTTTATTTGTATACCATTTTGATTTATGATTTTTTCTTTAGATACCAATTTTTTCACTGATGTAAAAATTTGATTCCAAAGAATTCTATCACATTATTGTTAATCAAATAACTTTTAATCATGAAAATATGACATTATGGGGTTTGCAATGAGGTTTCTAAAATGAATAAAATATATTGTACCCATTCTACATGGTTAACAAATGAGACGACAAAGACAAGTGACATGCAACAATAATTTTATAATACAATATATATTTACCTCTAAAATAAATATCCTAATTGGTTAGGGAATTACGGAGTACTTAGAAAGGCCAAGCGGGTCGGGCCATGGCCCGGAAAAGCCCTCTGACTCCTACCATGTGGGTGGGGCACTACAGAAGAATGGCAAAATGAAGGGAATGTTAGATTGATTCAGTGTTCCGGCCACTCAAACATATAGAGACGGTTATATTTTTTGTTTTATACTCCGTATATACCTATATGTATAGTTGTAAAAAATCCCCGTTCATGCACCAGCAGAATTACTTAGGAGTTAGGGCATATAAAAATGAATAAAAGAAACGGGTTTTGCAATCTAAACCGAGAATACTCATGCCAGTTCTTCCATTCTAGCTTGTCTCTGAAAATTATTATTATGGAATTAAAAGTGGAACACAATTTCACAAGATCTTTAGAGTGTTAAATTATTTTTTAATTCACTGATTTTTTCTTTGTAAAAATGCTACTCTAAAGAACAAGGATTTTTGGTTTTGCGAGGCCCCACGAGTGCCTCCTGTCCTCTTTTATCCTGCGTAGCTTCATATGTTTGCCTAAGTAGTGGATTCAAATGGCGATTTAGGAATTACATTTAATACAACATCAATTTGGTAATTTTTTTATTTAGCACTATTTTGGGATTACTTATAGAAATGTGCACAGTTTTTAAATTTCAACTTCAGGAACTTTACACGGAATATTTCTTACTTTATTACGACCCGTTTGGTAACACTAAAATCGGTTGATTCTACTGAAATTTATGAAGTTTTGGCTTAAGTGCATGATTGTATCGGCCTACTTTGCTGATTTATGAAAGAATTATATTTAAAATATATTTTATTAATAAAGGAAATAAACAATTATATGAAAAATAGCTAAAATAGTCATCTACAGTAATTTCAGCCAATAAAGCCAGAAAAGTAATCCCAAACTTACCTTTTCTTATTATTACACAATTCAACGCGTGAAATGAGAAGTTACATGTTTGGTTAAAAAGTTGGTTGATAAATCTGATAAGCCGAAAAACATAGTTACCAAACGACATCTACATCTGTTATGATCTGTAGATGGTATTTTACAATGATTATATAAAAACGATCTTTATACATTAATTATATAGTTGTCCTAAGCAGCGGCGTAGCCGGAAAAATGCCTCAGAGGGGTCGAAACTCAACCTATATACAGAATGAAAATGGTGGATTGTTTTTAAATAATATCCGAGTTCAATATTTCACATGCAGTTTAGATAAATAGACACTCGTCACAATAAGATTGATTGTCATTGCTCTGTTTCTGAGTCGTGTCTCATAAGTATTGAGTGAATTATACCCTATTTTTGAAATTTGGGAAAAAGTTTATAGTATGCTCAAATTTTGCTGATTTTAGGTTTAGATAGTGCTGATTTTCTAGAAGTCCTGATGTGCTTGTAATTTCCGTTTGTATGTTTATGTTTTTAGTTAGTTTTGTTTGTTTAATATTTCAGAAATTACACACTTTTGGTGTAATGGTTATGTTTGTAAAATAGTTGTAATATGTTTAGATTAGGTTTATTCTGAGCTAAAACAGGTTAAGGATCAATCAAATGATCATTAGTGAAATCAAAAGAGGAAGGAAGGTGCAAGAATACAAGACAAAGACAAAGAAGGAAAGTTCCTGATTTTGACCTGTACCCGGTCAGGTATACCCTATAACCGATCGGGTACCTACTTGATTTTCAATTAGATCACTTCTAGAAACAAAAGGACGTGCATGGGAAGATTTGGCCACAATCAGTTGTTATACCCGATCGGGTACACCGACACACCCGATCAGGTATACCTTTAATTCGTACCCTGAAATCGGTCGAGTATAGCTCGAATTCATCATTCTGCAAATATCCGATCGGGTACCCTATGTGTACTCGATCGGGTACCCGAGCTGCATCTCCAAAAGCCTATAAATACACCTCCTTTCCTTCACAAATAATCACCAATTCCTATACACTTCTATGTTCAGTCTAGATAAGTTCTTTCTTTATATTTTCTTCATGTTTAGTCTCCAAATGAGGAGCTAAACTCTTTCATCTTGGTTTTGCTACTTTGAAGCTTAATGAATTGTAAGTTGTGAGTTGTTTTCTTTAATCTTCTTCCTTGAATATTAATTAATTCCTATTCCTATTTCATGTTAATATTTTGAGCATTACTTAAAGGATCAACTAGTTTTGTTTCATATATTAATTATTACTAGAATCGATCGATTAATACGCTTGTTATTAATTCGGTTCTTTTACGGTAGTAAACTTGGGGTGTTAATGCATGCGTCTCATGGTTAATAACCAAAGGGGAATTAATTATATTGATTAAACCGATAGACCGCTTGTGTTGAGGTTATCAATCTCAATCGTTTTCATCTTGATTTTATTGCTACTATCGGGTTAATATACGGCGCGTGTTCTATATTGACTCGGTAGTAAGTTTTATTAATGAATGCATCTCGTTATTAATAACTATCCTCGATGAATCGGATATACTCCTCGATTGAGTATTCGAGAGGAATATAGTTAAAGATATAACCGGGATCGACGAACATTTCATTAAGTGGATAAAAGCAAAGCCAAGTCTTCATCTATATTAAGTAAACCACATAAGTCATTCATCTTTGTGTTTAATTAATTAAGTCAAAACCCCCCTTGCTACTTATTTCTAGTTTTGTAAAAAGAGAAGTATTCATTTCCCTGTGGATACGAACCTTACTTCATTATAATACGTATATTTGTTGTATAGTATTATTACTTTGAGTGCACACCACAACAAAGTGCAGGTCAAGTCCTAACTTTTTACTCGTAATGCGTTACAGGGGCCATAATATATTAAATTGAAGATATTTCAAAGCTCTATATTCTCAAACTTTGTGGATACGAACCTTACTTCATTAAATTGAAGATATTTCAAAGCTCTATATTCTCAAAGTGACCCCCCTTGCCTCTGCCCCTGGTCCTAAGTGAAGTGCATCTTTTATTTATTTATTTATTATAAGTGAAGTACATAGTTACAAGTATGATTGTTAATAAAAGTACTACTGCGGTCGGTCACCACATCTTAAAAAGTAACGGGAAAACCCCTAAAATACAAATAAATGGTTCGCGGAATTCTGAAATAAGATAATATTGTGATATTTTTAATTCTTAAAATAAGAGTAATTATTGTCATGTTGGAATTTAGTAGTGTCAAAACACGAAAAATCATACTAGTGTATTGGAATTCACAACCAATTTCTCGCGATTTCTTAAAGTAAAACCATTTATCATCCACAATTTTATTTTTATTATATATTTTTTTCATATACTCATGGTATTTATTAGCTAGCTAGAACAAAATATGTAATATACTACCATCAAATGGATGGTGTAGAAACATGCATAACAATAATATACAACATGCATGCATGCATGGTAAATTCTTTCTTCTTTTTGATAAATTTTAGACTAAATATATATGTATGATCGGATCGGAGCAAGCATTTAATTAATTAACCATGCTCATTAAGAACTTTGAAGTCCTCTCCACCTCAATCTCCATTTGACTCTGGTCGGTACGGTCTCCAACACAATTAATCAAGTCAACTGAGAATTATTAGTTATAATGCTGATAATGGACATTATCATCATTAGATGTGATGGGAAAATAATTGGCAGTCGCAGAATTTGAAGAACACGACATGGTCCCCGGAAACCCCGCCTCAGCCGGAGTTGACCTATTTGACTGGCCGCCGCCGCCGCCGGCAGCGCGTTCCAAGGACTGCACCTGATTCTTCAGGAACTTCACGTAATGTATGGCTTCGTCCAACATGGAAGCCGTGTCCATCTTGGTCCCACCAGGGACCAGTCTCTGCAGAATCCTTATCCTCTCGCTGATCCTTTCCCGCCGGTGACGCGCCGCCACGCTCTGCGGGTCGGTCGATATCTTGACGTTCCTTCTCTTCGGGGGCTTCACGGACTCGGGGTCAATGTGGATGGGCTGCATCGCGGCAATGCGGAATATCATCTCCCGCATCGCCGCCATAGACGTCCCCGTCCTTTTCGGCGCCCCCGTGTAGTCGCTGGGGTTTCGCCAATCTTGGTAATGATTGAGGTCATCGGGGGAGGTGGCGCCGCCGGAGAAGGATATGGTGGATTCCGGACGGTCCAAGAAATGGTGTGGGCGGAAGTTCATCATCATCATCTGCATTTCATTGGGGTCTTGGTCGTAAGCGGCGGCGGCGGAGTAGAACTCCGGGGGAAGTTTGTCGGCGTGCATCATAAGCATGATATCTAGTTGGTCTTCGGAAGCGGACTTTAAGAGCTCAATATCCATACACAGAGATTAGGGGAGTAGTTACGCAAGGACTATGGTGGACTGAAGTTGAGAGTAACTAAATTTTTTCCAAACCTTATAGTGTAATGAGAACTTTGGGAGCTTGTAAAAAAGGATTTTGATTATATATTATCAGATGAAAGAAGTATTGAAAAGTGGAGATAGGGTAGGAAGAAGTGTTGAGTTGGAAGGGAAAAAGAAAGAGAGAAATTAAAGGTGGAAAGTTTTATGAGTTTATTGGATTGCTACACAAAAGGGAAGTATAAAAAGCCTGCAAGATTGAGAGCGAGCTAATAAGGAATTGAATTACTCTCTTGGGGACAAGATATGCACACATATATGTGCCGTTTGCTATTGGTTGGGAGCAATCAGATGTTTGACGTTCCACGTTCTGGGCGTAGACATGTAGATGATGATCGAGTGGAAGGAATGATAGGGGGGAAGATCAGCGGTGGAACGCATTTCGAGGTAGATTAGATCACCTTCTGCAGTCTAATTGGTTGATTATTAATTGCTATCTTCATCCCGAGTTGCAAATTTGACTTTTCTTAGTCAAACAGTCTTGTTTTTGTTTACTTAATTAGGATTTCAATTTTTAATTACTACCTCCGTCCCAAAAAGAGTTGCAAATTTGACTTTTCTTAGTCTAACAGTCTCGTTTTGTTCACTTAATTAGGATGTCAATTTTTAATTCTTTTCTAATTTGGAGTTTACAACTTTGAAAAGATTTTAATGTAGTTTTTGAATACGTAAATTTTAATTATTAAAAATTGATACAACTATCCATAGAGAGGGTTGACTTTTATTATTGGTTGACCAAAAAATGTTGAATTTGCAAAACAAATTGGGACGGAGGGAGTATATTGTAATTTGGAGTTTACAACTTTGAAGAGATTCTAATGTAGTTTTTAAATATGTAAATTTTAATTACTAAAAATTGAATTAATTATTCATACGGAGGGTTGCCTTTTATTATTGGTTTACCAAAAATTGTTGACTTTCCAAAACAAACTGGGACGGAGGGAGTGAATTTCTTCCTGAACAAAATTCTATTGGTGGCTATTTTGCATTGGCTGCCTAATATAGTGACATCTCCCAATTAGGGTTCACAATTATGTTCACTCCGTATTAGGGTATCCTCATTAGTAGGATTATTATGAGATTAAATTGATGACATGACAGTTTTTTGGAGAATTATCATTGAGTGACATAGATTATTTGCTATAATAATCTGAGAACAAAATATGAATCCAGATTATTTTAAAATTATTAGAAAAGTATATGTAATAGAGATTAATGCAGGATAAAGAAAGAGCAGATTATTTGAAGTTGACGATAGATAGACATAAACGAATTTTGAGATTATTTTAAAATTAATTACATAACAATATTTAAATGGTAAGAATTATAGAAAAAATTGATTATTATAGATCATGAATGGAGATGCTATTAGACTTATGTATCTATTATTATCTTTGTAAAAATTATCATACTCCTTACTAGTATAGTTTATCATTCATTTTTCACCTATATGCCATAAGCGAGATATACTTACAAAGTCAACGTAAGTACGTAACACAAAGACTAGGTTATAGGTGAAAAACAGAAAGCCGATCAAAACATGCATTGCTACCGCGTTCTCTTTTTATGGCCTGTTTGTTTGGGGGTTAACCTAGGTTATTGAAGGTTCAATTTTTAGTTAACCCCGTTTGTTTATGTTTTTGCAACAAGAACCTAGGTTATGACTTAACCTCACATAACTCCCGAGAACCTCGAAACACCTCAAATTGGAGAACCTCCGAATCGGGGGGTTCGGAGGTTAAGTTCCCGTTCAACATAAAATAAACTAGAGTACCTTCATCCAAACAACATTTATGACATTAACCTAGGTTCACCTTATTTATTTCCAAACACCATTGTACGCATGAACCTGAGTTCACTTAGTTTAACCCAGTTTTTATTAAAACTTAGGTTTACTTTATTACACTAGGTTTACTTAAGTTCACTTCATCCAAACAGAGCATTAATTGCAACATAGGACTTTCTCCTCTATTCATAGATTCTATTTTGACTATATTTTATTTAATAATTTATTATGAATTAAATTTTTTAAAAATATTTTTAAATTCCTCTCATAATAAATTTTCAAAATCTGATTTTTTTAACGGCTAAACTTATGCGTTGGCAAGCGTCAAAAGTGGATTGTTTCAATTTAAAAAGGACGGAGGAAGTATTACTTAAATGGGATTTTACTTTGCACCTCATTTTGGGCAATATGAGATTTAGAATCTTATTTTTAATACGGAGTATCATTAATATGTGCACTCTACTCTATTGCAGTACAAACTCATTTAAGTGTACATCAGTCATCTTTAGGATGGTGTGGGGTACACATAAATGATTTTGTAAATATGCGCAAAGTCTGACGTGATTCATGTTAAGACTCAGATAATGTTTTAGATAGGAGGGTATTCTAAAGTCTTACATAATGTTTTAATATTTTATAACTTTTCGGTGTGAGAAAAATGTTTTAACAATTCAGGCGTAAAAAAATTCCCTTTCAAACCCTTTACTTAAACACAGGGGCGGATCCAGAATTTCACGTTGGGGTGGGCTGAAAAACTTAATTGATAATACATTGATTTTTTTTCAAAATAAGCAAAAACTCAAATATAAACTTGTCAACAATAGAGTCTACATCTATACTGAAGGTAATTTCTTTTCAATATAAACTCGTCAACAATAAAGTCTACATCTATACTGAGAGTAAGAAAGTAGTCATCCATTTTGTTGCAGAGTGTTGTCTTTTGATGTTTCACGACAGAAAATGATATTCTACGGTTGCATTAGAAACAATAAGATTGATACAAAGCGAATAAATCTACTCATTATAACATAGAATCGGATCTTTTGCTCTTAACTCTAGTCAACTCATCACATAATTTAAAAAGTGTAGATACTTGAAACTTTGTATCATGAATCACATAATGAACGTAGTGTTGTAGCTCGAATTTCAAAGCATGAATGTTCTGACTACTAAAATCTTCAGGATAGAATTTTCTTGCAAGAGTACAAATTGCATCAACATTGAACAACTCATATGATTTTTTTGGATCCAATGAAGCACTCAAAGAAAGGAGTTCCACTGATTTATCATTAAATGGGTCTGTAACTCCATAAAAAAGTCTTATTGAAATGGTCAAAGTGATAATGATGATCAAATGTAGTTTATTTTCGGAAACGACCAACCATATATTTAGAAATTATAATTCAAGTCCGGTGCATGAATTTATTTTTTTGAGCAAAATCATTTACTTCTTCAAGAAAACTTTCCCATCCATTTTCGGTCAATTCCTAAAGAATGAGTTGTGAAGTAGAAAGATGTATCATGACTACCAAGATATCCAATAATTTTTTGAAGACCTTGAGAGAGAACAGTCGTTATTTCCATATAACTTTGTGCATCAAAAGTAAATTGAACACAAATTCAAAACATCGAAAGTGTCTATACACTACAAACACTTTAATGTTCTTGAAGATCCTCAAACACTTTACAAGTTGATGTGAACATGCTAATCAGGCTGTTATATTATATACTAAGTGTCTTTTATTAAGTTGGAAGTGATGTGTATAACATTTTGATTAGATTTTTAGATGATAAGAATTTTATTTATGGGTTGGGCTGAAATTTTTTTATTGGGCTATAGAAATATCTACGGTGGGCTGGATGGAATTTTATCAAAATAATACCTTAATAATATTTTTTTTTTACTTTGTCTTGGGCTTCAGCCCACCATAACCCTAACATAGATCCCCTGCTTAAACACCTCTAAATCTTGAGAATATAACTATACCATAAGCTGTGGTAATAATGTAATACGGAGTAATATGCAAATCGTGTGAAAATTAAATTTTGTCCCAAACATAAACTTTATTAACGCATACAGCTACTCAGTCTCTCACCACAAATAGAAACACTGAAATAAGAAATTGTGAGTACTAATTGTACAATTGAAAAACACTCATGATGCAAATGCACAAAGTGTAAATTAAAGGGCTTAATAATTCATAGGACATGATATGCTATTGTTTTGTTTGTCAAATTTTATAATATTTACATTCCTTTTAAATTATTTTGATAATATCTTTATTGAAATTATTTACAATATTAAAGTTCTTTGAAAATATTTTTTGCTAAAAATACTTTCATAAGCATGTTAAATTTATTACTTCCGTTCATAAGCGTATCAAATTTATAACTTTTTACTTATGAAAAGTGTGATCCAAATGTAATGAAATGATAAAGATTTTTGGGGCGGAGGTACTAAATAATAAAAAGAAGGAAGTAATTGCGGTGTGTGTTGTTTGGTAGGGATTGGAAGGTGAGCTGAATCCAATAATATCATCCCTGCCGTTGCTTCCTTCCTGCTGCATTTTTATAATTATAATTAAATTGATTATCATCACCGTTACGTACGTACCAACTTTTGCTCTCTCTTTCAGAGCATTAAAATCTGGATACCAAGACAATACAATTATTACTATTATTATTATTGTTTTTATTATCATCAACCAATATTGCAAGAGACATGCATGATTAAAGAGACGACATGTTCTCTGCAACCAGAGGTTCCACTGGATAAAAAGAAGCCAAAATAGATAGATTTTGGTCTTCAGTGCGGTGCTCTTTCTTTTCTCCCCCAATGAAATAAATATAAATTTACTTCACATTATCTTGTTTGCATTACCTTATCCTCCCTCCCTCACAGAGCTCAGTGACCCCACCTCCTGTTTTTAAATTCTGATTTTTATTCCACCGGCATTTATTTATTTAAATTACTTTTCATTGCTTTTTTGTTAGGTTGATCCCAATTTTACTGGATTGTTCCCTCAAATAATCCACCTTAAACTGTTGAGAGAAGTGAGCAATCTGTTAAGTTTCCACTAATATCTATACATCACCTTAAGAAATCGGTATTAATTAGATGATTGGGTGTGTCATCAATGAGGTTTTCAGTACATCTCCTCGGTGAATCGTCAGTCAAACACCATCAAATTACTAATAAAATGCTAACCTTCATATTATCATTCGAAGTAACCTCACACTAAAAGAACATTTTTTATTTTAAGGGAGGAAATATCTAATCAGTAAAGGTTCATGGCTATTCTAGTGGAAAAGCTATACTACTAGAGCGACTCATTTGATTTATTTAAGTCTTACCAGACTACAACAAAGTATAGCTTTTATAACAAATGTAAAATGTTATAACAGGCATAAAAAATGTCATAATATAACAAATGTAGCAT